TTGCAGGTCCACAATGATGGATGACCAAGGACAGTTGGGCACAAAACTTCAGGGTAGCTGTTATTTCCTCTGTGCAACCAGATCTCTCTATGCAGTTGCTTCTAAGGCTTTTGTCACAGCCTAACTTAGTGCAGACCCAGCAGGCATACACACTAGGCTGGCAGCTCAACATCAGGGGCCTTCCCTTATTGTCATGATTTCTGCCCCAATACTGAGATGCTTGCTATTGATTAAACATGAAGTATTCCCCACAAAAGCTAAAGTGCTGAAGGCATAGTCTCCATATGTACTGTTGAGAAGCAACTAGGCCATGATTACCTCACCTTCATCAATAGATCAACCACTGATGGGTTCACAGTTGAATAGACTATCAGAGTAAGGAAGTAGGTCTCTGGGATGGGGTGACTTTGGGTACATCTTATCCCTGTCCCCTACCCCTGGACATCATAAGGTAAGCAGTGGTCTTCTCCCATGATTCTGCTTGTCATGCTCTTAAAAGCAATAAATAGAAGCAGCTGACCATGATTGCAATCACTGGGACCATGACTAGGTTAAGTATTTTCTCCTTTTATATTAATTTTCTTGGGTATTTTGTCATTTTATTTAAAATAGTGCTCAAAAAACTATAGCTGACTTGAAGATATCCAAAGCATCGACACCAAGAGCTTGCTGTAGCTCTTCCTGTCTTGTGTGAGTGCTCATGACACTGCACAGGAGATGGGTAGTCAGAGGCACCACTGTTCAAACCACAGCCATCAATAAGAGAAATCGCAGCACCTTATGAAGGGCATAGTCAACCTGTAAAGGATGTCCCTACATTGTAGGGGAAACCACACCTAGTATGATCCCCTTCCTTAAAAACAAATAAGTGCATACATAGAGAACCCATTTCTGTGTAAACAAGTTTGTCAGCAGGGGGTCAGTTCTATAAATCCCAACTGTCATTGCTAGGTATCACTGGATGTGAAAAAGAGAAATCCATTTCTGTGTAAACAAGTTTGTCAGCAGGGGGTCAGTTCTATGGGAATAAATCCCAACTGTCATTGCTAGGTATCACTGGATGTGAAAAAGAGAAAGCTAGGTACATGCTCATAGATTGGTATATCAGGACTTTTAATGGGACCTAGATAAGGAATTTTGTGTGTGTGTGTGTGTGTGTGTCTGGTTCTGTGGCTCAAAACCTGGACCGTATCAGGACTTTTAATGGGACCTAGATAAGGAATTGTGTGTGTGTGTGTGTGTGTGTGTGTGTGTGTGTGTGTGTAATTTTGTGTGTGTGTGTGTGTGTGTGTCTGGTTCTGTGGCTCAAAACCTGGACCTTGGGAATGTTAGACACGTGATCTATCACTAAGGCCCTTGCCCGGCCCAGGAATGTGGATTTAACATACTCCCCTTGGGGAATCCTTTGTATTAAAGTTTGAGAACTACTGTTTGATACAATGCAGTTATAAACCCGTGTCTTTTTTTTTTTCTGTTCTGTAATGTTTATGGCTTAAAAATGAGCAAACCCATCCATACCTTGCTTTTGTCAGAGAAAATCAGTAAGGATGCAAAAGTATGGGGGAAAGCCATCTCTTCCAAGCAGCTGTCCTGAGAGTCAGTTTGGAATCCTGTTTAGTTCATGCTTATTCATTTTGAGTATAGGAGAATAGGGCCCTTAAACTAATGAATCTAGCAGGAGATTGTTCCAGAAATCTTCAGGGCTCAAGGTGGAGCTGCTGCCTCTCTGTCCCCTGTTTTTTTCTTTCATCTGAAACGAAGAGCCTCAGAAGTCAGTGGGCAGAATTCTTACCCAGTCCCACAGTGGAAGCCCAAAGGAGACTGCCAAGCTCCCGGCCATGCCCCCACCCCCTAGTCTCCTGGAAGTATGAGAGGAAGGGTATTATTAAAGACCAGGGAAGGTACCTCACTGAGGGCAGGGCATTTCTTGCTGTAGTGCACAAAAAACCTCCACAAACAGCTTCCCTTTTATTTCAGCTTAGTTTTCTTCAGCTCAGTAGCAACAAAGGCAATTCAGATGGGCCCACAAATGTCAGAGAAGCTCCCATAGCAACTTGAAACTTCTTCCTTGATCCTGTGTTTTGGAATCTCAATTTCCAAAGAAGCCCACAAAATAGTCCTAGGATCAAACTTGCCACCTCTCTGGATGGGGTGCTGGGTTGGGGGCAGGGGCTCAGGAAGAAGCTTGCTCCAGTAGAGCTTGCCATGAGGCTCACAGAGATTGTAAAGTGGTGAAAGGTTGCCTTTCCAAGTTTGAACTGGGAAACATTTACCCCGGGAAGGGATTTCAAGCGTGAAGACAGGAAGTGGGGCAGGGCAGCAAGAACCAAGAGTTCTTTTTCCAAAAACTGGCTCTTAACCCATTGCCATTGGCATGGTGAATTTGGTCTCTAAGAGTGATCTTACCCCTATTTCATTTTCCTATCAGTGAGACAAACCAGGATATATTCTGTTGTTCCCTCCCTTTCCCGTGCCTCCCAGGTGTATGTATGTGTGATGGGAAGATCATAGAAAGCCATCTAACTTCAGAAAGCCCATGGTTGCAGGCCTGGGGGAAGGGTGGGGGAAAGCAGCACTCCTAGAATTTAATTCAGATAAACAATGGATTTTTTTGTTTTGTTTGTACAAGCACATCCATTTTATCTTTGGAGCTACTTGCAATAAACTCTTCTTTGTTGTTTATGTGAGGTTCAAATTGCACCAGGGTTCAGGTCTTTTTGTTGTTGTTGTTTGTTTGTTTGTTTGTAATGTTCCTTGGCAATAGTAGTGGAATGGAGGTTTTACTGCCCCCTGGTGGCTAACAAGGAGTACAGACCTGGGGAGGTACCAGGATGCAAACAGAAGCCTTTCTCCCCAGGGTGAAAGTAATACTTGCCTGGTAGACTTTTATGGAAGGACAATAGCTTTCCAGGTATGACTGAGCATGAGTTATATCACAGAGTGAGTTCTTCCAGTCAGGGGGCTATGAGTATCTGTGCCAACCCAGGCACCAACATTGGATGGACTGCTGTACAGCTAGGAGACCTTCAACATGCCTTCCTCATCTCTATAACTGGGCAGTTGTTCTGAAGAATGGAGGACATAGGCATGGCAACCTCAGCCCCAGAGCTGGGCCACCTGCCTAAGTGATGCTATTACATCATGTAACAGCATTAAAGTTCCCACTGAAGTGAAAAAACTGGAAATTCAGTATGAAACAAATGTACAGGTAAACTATTCCTGGGATAAACTAGAAGGCAACATCCTTAAGTGTAACTATCAGGTGTTTGTAGCTAGTAGGATTATGGGGTAAGTCCTGCCCCTTTGATCTATGGATGCAAGCATCACTATATTGCAGAGATGGGAACAATTGTCACTCTTTGTCTAAATCAGTGATTCTCAGCCTTCCTTTAATACAATCTCTCAGTTGTGGTGACCCCCCAACCATAAAATTATTTCATTGCTACTTCACAACCATAATTTTGCTAGTTATAAATCGTAATGTAAATATCTGATATGCAGGATATCTGGTATGTGACCCCTGTGGAACCCCAAACAAGTTGAGAACCACGGATCTAATCATACTTTGGAGAGGTAGATCTGAGTTTGAAAGTGTTTTCTGTCTCTGGGGAGGGTGGAAACCTCCTTAGCAGACTATGGGCTGCTGTTGCAGCTCTGTGGAACTGTCACCTTATTCACTAAAGGGAGAGGATGATTAGTGCGACCTGGCAGAACTGGGAAGGTGGAACTAAACATTTGATGTTTCTAGTGCTTACTCTATCAGTAAGCACTCAGCCCTCAGGGAGGCCTCAGGGAGACAAGCCTGTGACTCGGGAGCTCTGACTTGTCTGCTGTGTAGATGCACCAAAAGTTGAGAAAAACATTCGCAGCTAGAGAAAACTCAGGGTCTTTCGGGTTAGGGAACCTTGCTACCCGCTTTAGGAGAACGGGCACCTCAACAGGGAACTTTGAAATCTGATTCTTCTATTGGGGGTTGCTGGCTTTATGCAGGCAAGGAAGCCCCCAGGAAGCCATTGTTGGTTTTGAATCCTTGGTAAGTTATTGTTTGGGGACTTAAGAGAACCCTTGTTCAAATGTTCACAACCAGTAACTAGGCGGCAATATCTCAGGCGGCAGGGGCGGGAGTTGGGGGGGGGGGCGGGGCGCCTTGGGCCCAGTCTGCCGACTCTTGGCTGAGACCCATTCCTTGCAGAGAAGGCTGCTGGTCAGGGAGCCAAATCCGTTGACACTTTCAAATCACTTTTACCGTTCCCCAAACCCCCTCCCTGAGTTCAGCTCCAGAAGGAAACATCCTAAGCCCTCATCAAGGGCATTTTCTCCCTTTTTTCTATATCTCGATGTTTTCCCAAACTATTTTTATGCTGACCATATATTCATTTATTTTATTATTTGGCTAAAAGGCCTTTAAAGTTTCCTGAGTAGAAAATACAGTGCTTCTCCGCACATAAGAAAACAAAAAGTTTAGAGATGAACACCTGCCATCCAACCACATCCACAACATCCAAAAGACCGCCATATGCCTCCTTCCCAATTTTTTGCACGCCCACATTTAGCAAATGCCTTATGAGCTGCCTGACCCATGCTGTCCCCTCATCATGGGCAACCGTGGTGGCCAAGACTCAGGGCTTTCTTCCTCCGTGGAATTCCTTCCTGCTTGGCTGTCAGACCTCCCTCCCTCCCTGACTGCCAGTGCACGCTCTTGGGAACACTGCCAGGTACTAACCCCGACAGGGACCTCGCGGAACCCCTGCAGGCAGGATGTGGAGTGGAAGCACAAGTTTGCATTTGTGCATGCTCATGTGTTTCCTCACTCAGGATGAGGGCAAAGGATGGAAGGAAAAAATGAGAAAAAAATAAAGGAAGGACAGAGCAAAGAGTGATGGAGAAACGTCAAAGCTTTGAGATGATGGGAACCAAAAAACCTGGGCACCAAGAAAGGAAGAACCAGGACCCTGCAGTCTGCAGAGGGTGGTCCCGGCGGCGACGTGGTTTCCACTTACCCGACCTGAGCAGCATCGCCCGGTACAGCCCGGTGGCTTCAGCGGGTGCCTTGCCCCACTCGCCCAGCTTCTGCGCCATGCCTTGAGCTGAGTGTCCCGATCGCAGAGTCTGGACTGGGGGCCTGAGCAGCGTCTCAGTGATAGTGAAGCCCTGCTGCTCCACCCGCCCAGGGATCCGGTTACCTTAGGCTTCTGAGACACAGCGGTGGTGTAAGACCGCTGGGAGCACAGGCAGTCTCTGTGCCCGGAGCAGTCAGGGCGCAGCGGGCGTCTGGACACCCTTGCAGCATCACATGGAGCACGGCCCGGCTTCCTTCCAGCCTGGCCTCTTGCCTACCTGGCCCAGTTCTTGGCCTCTGGCCTCTGTGAAGGCTACAAGCAGGTATGGGATTCGGGAGCGCCATTCCTGGGATCCATTCCCAGCCAGGCTGGTGAAAAGAAGCCCAGGGTCCTCTTCTGAGATGAGTGGAGAGCGATAGTCCTTCACCCACAGGGTTACTAAGGTGAGGCTTGGCAGGGGTATACATGAAGTGCTAAGAACCCGGCAGTTCGGAGCAAACACTATGCATCTGTACTTTTGACTCGTGGTCTGAGGATGTTGCTCAGTTAGTTGGTAGAGGGCTTGAACGAAGCCTGGGCTTCATTATGCAGCATAGCATTTTTGACTCGTGGTCTGAGGATGTTGCTCAGTTGGTAGAGGGCTTGAACGAAGCCTGGGCTTCATTATGCAGCATAGCACAAAAGCTGGGATGGTGGTGCACACCTGTAATCCTAGAGTTTAGGAAGTGGAGGTAGGAGGATCAGGAGTTCAAGGTCATCCTCAGCTACATTGCTAGTTTGAGACCAGACTGGGTTATGTGAGAGTTGTCTCAAAACACAAGCAAGTAAACAAACGCACGGCAAAGATTCAAGAAGTACAGAGAAGCAGTGTCTTTGTTGCAGTAGAGAGAAGATGAAGGGGAAAGTTGGTAGGACGCCACAAGAACGATTTCTCTGGCTTTCTGGTGTCCCTTAAACAGCCAGAGGGGAAGACTGAGGGTGCATCAAGCAGTTTTGGAATATGCAGATGTCTACAGCTTTGGTTACCTGCTCTGCCTGCATTGGGCTACAGTGCATCTAAAACAAGAGAGTATAAATTATGCACTCTTTGCGTTCCAGTTCATTTAGTCTTTACAAAGTTGGGTCTCTTGGCATTCTGATTTTACAAAGGAGTGGAAACGGAAGCCCAGAGAGTCTAACCTACTGCTCTGAAGTCACTCATCATGGAGCTAGGGCACAAATTCAGATGGTCTGACCCCAGACACTGATTCTGCTCCACTGCCTCTGTCATTGAAGTCACTCTTCAAGGCAGTCCTAAAGGCTGAGTCTTACCTCCAGTGTAGAGATGAAGTCTCTGAGACTTGGCAGGTGAAATGACTTGTCCATACTTACATACTTAGAATGCAGCCAGTTAGGGATCCATGAAATTAGTATCTGAAAAACATGGGCACTGTCTAGGGCATTGGACGGTTCCAGGCTGTGCCTGGGTGTGCCAAGAAATGATAGTTGTTGGGACCTTGGCCCCGCCACCATAGCCCCCTTCACCTCTGCTTGCTCTCTGCCATCCTGCCTTCTTGCTCACCTGCTGGCTATAATCTCTTTAGTTGGCCCTCAGTTACTGCCCAGTCCCAGCTTTTGTACCAGAGGCCCTGGTATTCTGCTGTTCAGACACTATCCACTGTCCCAGGATACATCTGGCACACTTCACACATCTTGCAGGATCTCAAGGTGACCCTGACCTTCAGGAGCCTCACAGATTGGCCTGGCTGAACATGTTTGCCATCAGCACCCAGCTGTCATCACCAGGCATGACTTTACTGTCCTAGCCTTTCTTCGGAGGACAGAACTATAGCCAACTTACAGTTCATCTCATTGGACCCACTCAGTGGCTCACTGATCCAGCTGTGCTTCTGTCCTTCTGAGACTAGGAGCATAGGCTCAAGGGACTTGTCTATGATCACTTCACTGGTCAGTAGCAGAGTTGGGATCTAGATGGCTCTATAACTTACTGCCATGGATAGAGCAAGCCATTTGGTGAGTAGAGAGGGATTTAGGCAAAGGGTAGTTGAGGCATATGCATTTGGTGAGTGTGTGGAAAGATAACTCTGGTTAGGCCCTGGTAAACTGCCAGTGGGCCAGACTCACCTAGTCTATTTAGTTTATGCATGTCATTTTCACCTTGGGATCTGGCCCAAGGAGAATATTCTGTCAACAGAAAGAAAGAGGGAGTGAGGAGGTGATGACTTCTTCTGGGAAGGTGAGGGATAATGACATTTTCATAAAATCACTGAGCTATGAGCAGATTGTGAAGTTCTTGCTACAGAAGCATGAAGACCTGAGTTTGGATTCCCAGAACCCATGTAAATCTGGGTGTAGTGATATACATCGGAGATAGACTTGTAGGTCTTTCTAGCCAGTCAGTCTAGTTGAGTCAGTGAGCTCCAGGTTCAGTGAGTTCCCTGAGATAGCTCAGTTGGTAAAGATGCTTGCAGCCAAGACTAACTACTTAAGTTTGATCCCAGGGTAGAAGGAGATAATCAACTCCTACAAGTTGTCCTCTGACCTCTGCACATGCTATTCCACTGACCACAGAGAGGACTGCTCAGGGTAAAAGTTTCCCTAGGGAAAATTACTGTAGTTTTTTAAAATGTGTGTGCATTTATAAGACTTATAAAGAATTTTAAAGAGTTATTTTATTTAAAGCTTTAAAGAGTTACTTTATTTTCATTTATGTGTGGGTGCGGGTACGTGTGCAGTGTGTGTGTGTGTGTGTGTGTGTGTGTGTGTGTGTGTGCGTGTGGA